ACTTGCTTTATATTATGGCCTGAGTAAAGAAGACTCCCAACCTTTGTAGCATGCTGGATCTTTTTGAAAATACTGATTTCTGAGCCCTGTTTCAGATCAACCAAATTCAAATTCTGAAGGAAAGATTAGGAATTGGAAGGACTGGAAATCTTCCTGGTGATTCTTTTGGAACTCAGGGCTGGGAAGCAGCGCTCTGTAATTTAGAGATGATAGTTAACTGGCTGCAGGGATCTGGTGTCGCACTGTTATTCATTCTTGGAGATGCCGCTCTTTCTACTGCCCAACTCTGTCCTGATGGGCAAGTTCCACCTGTCCAGCCTCGCAGGTCGGCCTCAGCACCACCCTTAGACAGAGGCCCTCTGTCTCCTGGTGAAGCTCTTCATTCATACTCTGGCTTCCTCTAGCCCCCAATTCCTATACCTCCAGATCAACTCTAACTCTGCCTCCCTGCCTTCTACAAAGATTCCTCCCCCAGCAACATTGTGATAGATATTCACCAGATGAGGAAATAGGGCTCACATCTCCTGAATCCATAACTTGCCTTAATTTATACTATATACTCATTTGTTCATTCAGTATTTATGAGAGGCATTTTGCCTGATTCAGCCTTAACCCTGCTGAATTCCTGAACAATTGCACTTGAGGGCACCATCTTTGTAATCACCAGACATGCTGCCCTGCAACTTCCAGTGCCCTCTCGTCTGCAGATGAGGTCATGTCTGATGAACCAGCTACAAAGCAGCGCTTCCCATACCTGCTCCCTTTTTCCCTGGCCTGACATCTTTTGCCTTTCAGAGAAACATAGGTGAGACAAGGTCTTACTCTCTGGGTATGTGTCACACTTCCTTGGCAGTGGCAGCTGAGCTGGCTCCTCCTGAGAGGAGGGGTCACTCCAAGAGCTACATGCATGGAGTAAAGTGTGTTGTCACTGGTCTACAAAGGCACACAGGGATGCCGCCCCAGTGCAGTCCACGCAAAAATGCTGTGGTCAATTCAGAACCTGAGCTTCTCACCATCAGTGCTTCATAATCTGCTTCCTAGTACACAATGAGTACTTGACTTCCAGTTTTCTCAGATATAAAATGCAAATTCAAAGTAGAAGCAGAACTATTTTTCCAACAGATTATAGTTTATACATTCATAGCTGAATTTCTTGGTGTACCTATCCCTCCTCAGAAACTTCTAGAACTGGCTATACCACAGGCAAATAGAGATGAGTTTGTGGCATGTGGACTGTCACTCTGTCTTCCAGCAACCCTGGCAGACATCTGTATTCTCTCTCCCACTGAGCTTAGATGTGACTTCAGTCTTCTCAACAGCAGACCCAGGAGGTCATTATCATTTGGAGCTGGTGCAAAAGGGGTAAAACGGATTGCTTAACTCAGACAATGAAGGAAGTATCTTTGGAACTGTGCACACTGAGGTGTGGGACTGAACCGTAACTGTCTCCTATCTGCAGCTTCTGTATTTGTAGGCTGGGATACTACCACGTGCTTCCCATGCTATAGTTGTCAGAATTCATCGAAATAATATCTGAATATCCAGCACCTCTCCTTGCACGATAAACATGGCTCCTCCTTGTCTCTTTTCTTCCCCTTTATGGGACATTTCCTTGAAGATTTGATGAACATTTTATTAAAAATTTAACTTAGGGATAAGTGAGATCAATGTTTGGGTAAGGAGATAGGATGCGCAGATAAAAATGAAAGGCTTTTCAAAGTAAGAGTCCAAGAATCGGAAATTTCTAGCTGCCAAGCAAGGCTCCAAAGGCAAGAAGACAGGGAAGTGAGGCTGAGCTCTGGATAGGTAGGAAATGGTACTGAAGGATGATTACCAAGAAAGGAAAGTGCCTGACAAGTTTAGAAGAAATAGAAAACAGAATGCAAAACTGAGCCGAAGTTGCTGGTAAAGTAGTCATAAGTTAACTAAAATTCATAAATGTGGTTCCCACACCTTCAACAATGCTTTGAGCCTCTCTTCTTTCTAACAGATCACAGCAGCCCATCACATGGAGAGTGGCTAGAAAGCAACGAGCTTGGTTGCCGGAAGTCAAGGACAAGGGAAATTACTTCCAGTATTTCAGAGCACAGTGATTAGTGGTTAGCAACAAGGAGAGTTAACACTGTGGTCCTTGGTGCCGAATGCATCAGAAACATGCTCAAACGGCTGGGACAGAAGGAGAGAAGCCTAGGCCTGTTCCCCGGGAAGGTGAACCTCGCAGTGAACCCTGTAGCATCCGTGAAACTGTCTTCCCACCTGTAAATTGATAGGGACATCTGACATGGGTCAATGGTGTATCAGTATGTTTGGCTCTTGGTAACAGAGGCCCAGGTAATAAAGGGAACTTACTGGCCCATGTTATTGAAAAGCCCACGAAACTTTGAAAAGCTTCCGGGCTAGTTCAAATAATTTACCAGGAACCAATGTCTCCTTCACCATTTCTTGCTCTGTTTCCTGGTGTGGCCTCTCAGGCAGATTGAAGGAGATCTTTCTGATTGAGAATGACTTCCAGATGCTCTAGGAGGCAGATGTCCGCCCCTTTCCTCTAGCCACACCTTCTTAGATCACGTGTCCATACCGGAACCAATCCCTGGGCAGGGAACGAATGTGCTGATTGGTGAGACTTAAGCCACATGGAACGTGATCCATTCCCATTGCTGAAGGTGGATTCAGCCTCCCACAACCCCTTGTATTTCCACACGAAATCAGGACAGCAAGGAGAGGAAAGGGGAGAAGGAAGGTGCAGTCACTCCACACGCTTTCATGGTTGGTGGGGTTTAACCTTTTGAGGGATAAATAGAACCCCCAGTCACACCATGGACCACATAATGACAACTTAGACAATCACAGCTACATAAACAGTTGTGACCTCATAAGACTTTAATAGACCTGAAAAGTTCCTCTTACCCAGTAACATCCTGGGACAAGGCATGTTTGTAGCGATGCAGGTTTAAAAGTACCTGCTGTGCAGCCAGCCATATACAAGTACATTGCACACAGTCATCCACGGTGCGCCATACTTGCTCATGGTAAATGATTAGGTTACTGCTTTATGTATTCATTATGCTACATTGTTAATCATTATTTTAAAGTGTTTGTCTTCTGCTTATAAAAAGAGTAGACTGTAAGCAGCACGCTAATTCAGGAAACCTCATACATCTCACATTGCCCTTGGCTCTCAGTTGCATTGAGGTCACATGAAGGGTCTTTTGTCACTCCTGAGAGACCTGGTTAGAAACTTAGTGTGTTTCACGGAACAGAAATGGATGAAGAGAATCTTTTTGGGTTCTCCTTTGGCTCTATTTTTTGCTAATGTTTAGCAAGCATCTATCTACCCGGATCATATGTATGCCTGTCTCCCATCCCCAGACACTTCAGCAGGCATGTGCTAGTTTTGAGAAGTAGGTAGAATGTGAGTCTTATTAAGAATACAAATATTATGTCAACATAAAATATGCTGTGTCTCTACAGGCTCCTCAACATAGAGACTTATCAGTTCCCAGCTATCTTTTTTCAAACTTAAAACTTGCAACAAATTACCTAAGTTTCTGATAAAGACCAGAGCAATAAACCCACAGATAACTAACAAAGCCAAGCCACACACAGGCGGGCAGGAATGGTGTGACAGAAGGAAGATGAATGTTGTCTTCAAATGAATAGAGATCAGAAATTTGGTTTCTTGAAAGAACCGGGGAATCAATGAAATATTGTGTTTACTTTGAAAGTCATTTGGAAAGCCTTTTATACTTTCTTCAAAAAGTTGAAGTTTCCTTCCATAAAAATGCTGGCATACAATCTGAGATACTCTTAAGAAATGATCGAGTGGTAAAATAGAGAACATGAAATACGCCATCTTAATCATTTTAAAAAGCACAGGTCAGTGGCACTAGGTACGCTCCTGCGTTGTGCAATCATTACTGCTGTTCAACTCCAGAATCCTTTTCATCTCACCAAAGTGAAACCCTACACCTGTTAAACAATAACTCCGGGCCCTCTTCTCTCTGCCCCTGGTAACCACCATTCCATTTTCTCTCTCTTTGATTGTGACCACCCTAGATACCTGACATAAGTAGAATGGTAGAGTATTTGTCTTTTTGGTAACTACCTTATTTTACCTAGCATAGTATTACTTAGCATAACGAACAAGGTTTGTCCTTGTTATAATAATGTGTCAGGATTTCCTTCCTTTAAAAGCTGAATAATTATTCATTATACAAATATACCACATGTGACTTTCCATTTATACATAAGTGGTCACCTTGGTTACCTTCCCCTTTGGTACTGTGGACAATGCCATGATGAACACAGGCATACAGCTATCTGCTTTCAATTCTTTTGGGTATTTGCAAAATCACAAGAGGAGTCTGCTAGGGGCTGGGGATTTAGCTCAGCGGCATAAGTGCCTCCTTGCAAGCACACAGTCATGAGTTCAATTCCTGGTACAAAAAAAAAAGGAGCTTGCTGGATCATAGGGATGAAGAATTTTTCAGGGCATGGTTTTGTTTTGTGTAAAATTGTTTTGTATAATTCTTAAATGTATATTCAAAAGGCACAGATGCCCACAGACTGATAGTTCCTTGATTTCACCTTATAATTAAACAATAAGTATAAAAGAGGTGGCTACCACCAGGCAGCACTTTTGTAAGCTCAAGTGGCTTCTTTCCTATTCATGGCGATTTACAGTAATAAGGAGCCAATTGTGTTCTAGACTTGCATTTGTGTAGGTCTCACAATCACAAAATCAAGTGTCAGGGATCCATAGTCTAACCCAGGTTTAACTCAGAGCAGGAGCCCAAGAAAACAACACTGTACTTCAGGGATGAAACAAAGAGGAGCTTCTTCAGCAGGCAGGGAGACTGCTGGGCTGCCCAGATGTAACCTTATTTTTCTTATCTAGCCAGCAGTCTTCCTTTTCTATCCGGATGGACATAATGACAATATAAACATGTCTCCGTTTCTTCCTCAGTGAGGAAAATCAGAACATCTCCTTGGGAATACAGTTTCATTATCTGAAAGTTTATTTGCATCCAAGAGTCCATGTAGTCGTTTAATTTCTTCTAAACAGAAGTATTTCTTAAATGGAGTCATTGAGGTCTTGTAGTTTACAACAGCTACAGAACAACCACATGTTCAGACCAATGCTTGTGGCATTAAAGCATCTCTCAACTCAATTAATTTATTGAAAAAGAGAGCTAGCATTCTGCACATATAAAATAACACCAACTCAAGCACAGACCTCATATTGTGTTCTGCGGGGTGAGCAGCTGACACACAATGATTCGCTGCTGGGGAATTTGGAGAGAAAGAGTAGTATTTCTCCACAATGAAGAAAGGCCACTCTTTAGCTCAGGACTATTCTACTCTGAAAAAGCTGGGAATGTTTTAAATGTGGCAACCAAGACTCTGTCTCGTTCACACACTCATTAATAGTATCATGTTTCATTAATTGGGTAACAACAAATAATGAAAATTAGTCAAACAAAACCCCTTTGACATAGTCTTCGATGGTGAAATCATAGACACTGAATAGGTGCTGCTTTTTGCTCCGGAGACTTCTCTCAGACTGTCAATGCTCTACATTCTCAGGATGATTTGCGAATCAGACACTAGGCTAATTTTGCTGGCACAAAGGCTAAAATTGCTAACGATCCTACTGAATGTTTCTCAGATGACTGAAGTCACTGCTACTTTAGACTCTGTTACCTAAAGATTTCTATGTTATCACCTGGTAGCCCAGGCTTCCACCAAGGACGCAAGATTCTAAAGGGGGTGATGAATGATCAGCACCTCACCTTCTCTGCCTGACCTCTTCTGTTCTTCCTCTACCCTAGGGTATCTCTTTCTCGCCTGTCACATGTTGCCACCATCCTCTTGTGATGTGCATGTACCATTGCCATCTAGGGGACAGGATGGCTAAAGAGCTTTCTGGCTAAGACTATTCTTGTCTCTAATTCTTTCTTCCTACCACAGTTAGCGTCAACTTTCAGTATGCATAAGAATCACCAGGGTAGACTATTTATTTGCTCCTGGGGTTTTCGATTTACTCAATCCCAGGAAGGCCTAGGAATCTGCATTTTAGTGGGTGGGTTTTTTTTTTTTTTTTTTTTTTTGTATTGGGAATCAAATTCATGACATCGCGCATGACAGGCAGGTGCTAGGCTGCTGAGCTATATCCCCAGGCCTGGAATCTGCATTTTAATAAACACCAGAGGCAACATGGGCCAGGTGGCTTTTGACTTCCTTTGAAGAAACCATGTCCTTGTGATGACATCCCGCATCTCTGCCCCAGCCCAGTGCTCACTTTAGTTGGGGTGGGTTCCTCTGGACAAGAGAAGTTCCCAGATTTCCCTAGTGCATTTGAGAACCCCTACAAATTTCTGTAAACACATTTTGCCAGATTCTTCTCTGGGGTTAATCATTTCAAAGAACTGATTTAGGCAGTAAAATTCAGTCACACTTTCACATGGCTCTACATAATTAGAGCGGATGTTCCTGTTTTGAATATTCTAGCTGCCATGAACCACGAACTGTGACTGACAGATTGGACAGGCAGACAAAATGCCAGCTTTCACAGAGCTTTGGGAGCTGGGACACTGGCCAATTTCTGCCCAGTGGCCTCGGTTTTCTCATGGGTAAGGGACTGTGGCTTACCTCTCTTAGGTGTTAGGAAGATAAATGACTACAAAAACCACAAGATAGAATGACAGCCCCCTTTGAGAGGTAACACGGGGATTTAGCAAAGAGTGTAGCCAACCCTGTGAGAACCGTGCTGTTTTCCAAACAGCTCCCTGGAGAAGGAAGTTGACGCTAGCTGGGTAAAGGTGTGCTGTGAGCCAAGCACTCCCATGGACTCCCATAGATAAATCACAGGCTGTGGAAGGTCCTTCACGGCTCAGTGAACAGAAAGCCACAGAATATTGGCAGCTGGATTCGCTGAAAAAAGGACACAGGTAGTAAAGAAACATCTAAAGAACCAGAATTGAGTGATCCCAACCCAATCCTTCCACTTTTAAAAGTTCTGACTTGTAATTGCATAATTAGTAATACATGACAAATTCTTCTTGTAAAATCAGGACAATGTAAACCCAAATTCTCCTTCGTCACTCCCTTTGCAAATGCCTGCTTTCTTCCAGGAGGGATTCCCACGTGGAGTGTTTGTTAAACCTTTTCTCAATGCATGCACATACAGGTATCTGTACCCCTGGGAAACTTACAGAATGATTTTATTATTTGCATATGTGTTTTGAAAAGATAAGTGGGACCTCATTATACATATCATTATGAAACTTGCCTTTTGCATTAAACAATGTCTTGGAAATGTATTATTGTCTAGTCATATAAATCCACTTTACTAGATTTAATTCCTGTTGTACCGAACATGCTCGGTGTTATGGTTAAGATCAGGCATGTCCTTCCAAAGTTTCATGCATTCAGAGCCTGGGCTTTTGGAAAGCAAATGGATCATGGTGAGTTGTACTCATGAGAAGATTTACTGCCCATGAGTTCCATGACTGATTGAGTTGCGGGAAGGTGAGGATGGGTCAGAGGTGGCAGGTCTGAGGGCCGAGACCTGTAAGGGTTTATCTCCTACCCTGTCTCCTCCTTGTCTCTTTGCTTCCCGGCAGCAATAACCTGAGCAGCTGTGCTCTGTGCCAAGTCCTCCCACCATGCCGTTCCTGCCTTTGAGAGTCTGAAATTGTGAGCCAAAACGAACATCTCCTCCTGTAAATTGTGGATGTCAAATACTGTGTCTCCGTGACTAGGAAAGTGGCTAAGACATGATGGGCATCCTCCAGGTCACACAGTCATTCTCATCAGTAGGCAATTTGACTGTTTCCACTCTTTTGCTAAAACACCAGGAATACCCGCGTGCCTTCCTTCCATCAGACTTTACGGGTATAGTTTCATTTTTAATAGCTATTACCTAATTGTCTCCAAAATGGATATATTTACTTACATCAGTAATGTTTGTTTGAGAGAGGGTATTTTCCCTCATTTAGGTCAGCATTGATACATATTAACAATTTTTAAATTTACCAATTGTTAATTTAAATTTGCATTGTCCCGATTGCAGGCAAGGTTGGGCATTATTTCATATAGTATTTGTTAGCCACTTACGTCTTTTTCTTTCTCTCTCTTTCTCTCTCTCTCTCTCTCTCTCTCTCTCTCTCTCTCTCTCTCTCTCTCTTTTCTTTTTGAGGCAGGATCTCTCTATGGAGTTCAGGCTGGCCTTGGGCTCACTTAGTAGCCCAAGCTGGTCTAGAAGTCACAAAAGATTCTTCTGCCTCAACCTCCCAAGTGCTGGGATTATAGGAGTCTCTTCTTTTGTAATATCTTACACTCTATTGTCTGTCTATTTTCTTTTGTAATATCTTACATCTATCATCTATTTTCCATGATTTCTTTAAACTAAAATTTGGGAGTGTTCTATTTTAATTTTTTCTCACCACTAGCGATTGAATGGAAGGTTTCATATTTGCTAGGCAATGCTCCACCACTGAGCTACATCCTCAGCCCTACCTATTTTTTATTTTGAGGCAAAGTCTTGCTAAGTTGTGTCCAGAGTGGCTTCAAAGTTGTGATCTTCTTGCCTTTACCTCGAGGTAGCTGGGAGTACAGGTGTGCACTGTCATTCTTAGTATAAAATTTGTCAGTTCTTTAAGCATCCTACATCACAATCTTTTAGAACCTACTTTCTTCTCCTGGGTTATTACATTATCTCTAGAGTCCTTGTGTGAATATATATGCGTGTTTTCAAATAGAAGTGTCAAATTCTGCTGTGGGCATTTTCTTGACCTCTCTTTTATGAATTTGATTTTTTCGTGTTTTTTCATTCATTTTTTCATGAGTGTCTCCCTACTTTGTCATATGCCTAGTTTTCTATAATCAGCTTTAATGTGATGCTCTTGTATTTTTCTGGTTCTGAGCATAGCCCAAATCCACGTGGTCTCCCATCAGAGACTGGGGGTGCTCGTAAACAAGGGTGTGGACGGCCTGGCTACGAGGTGACCTTTCCCTTGGGCTCCAACTGTAGGCAGCCCCCAGACATACGCTTCGTAGATTCCCTAAAGGCAATGGCTTTGGTTGTAGCAAGCAACTTTTACGAGGGAGAAAAAAAGAAAAGAAACATTTTAAAAGAAGAGATCCTTGAACTACAAATCCAGAAAAAGTATGGAATGGTTCTCTGTGGAGATTGCCAAACTGCAGACAGATAAATATTCTTTTAAGACATTTCAAATCGTTTGCTCCAACTTTCTGGATCTTTAGACAGGCAGATCTATCTTAAAAAGCCTCGTCGGTATTTTTGTATGGTAGCCATGCTTTAAAAAAATAAGAAAGAAACAGAAAGGTGCTGGCCATGTAGCCCAGTGGAAACATATATGCTTAGAATGTGTAAGGCCTTAAATTTTATTCCTGACACCACAAGACAAAATCAAAAAGAAATAAAGAGGGAAAATACTTTTGATGACTTGGCCTATTATGTCCAAAAGAGCATCACTTTAGCATCTCAACCATCTGATACATTCATGTAATACTGTAGATGTTTTGCACTGAGACCTTGACATCTAGTGTGTATTTTATCCTAATAGCTTATCTCAGTTCAGAAAAACACAGTTTTGGAGTTTAACAGCCACACCCGTTCAGTGGCTACTGCATTACAGTCTTGAGGGTGAAGACTAAAAACAGTCTGAGATATGCAGAGAGGCATCGCCTCGATTTATGTCAGAGTGTTTCAGTGATCATGGGCTGACACATAAGGTTATTACTCACCCTCCTGATTCCACTGTTCTTCCTAACACAAGTGTATCACACCTGCCATGGATCCAACCCACCGATGTGGCACAGTGGTATTTGGAGTATTTCCTGGAAAGGATATTGCTGCCAGCGAAGGGTGTTAGAAGGCAGTGACAGTGAAGCTGAATCTTGAAAGATAGGAAATGACCAGGTGATCAAAGGTGACATGTGAACGAGGATGCTGGCTGCAGGGTACAGGCTGCAGGTACAGCAGACATCAGGTCCTGAGGGGTCTCAGGGTCTGAGGGGTCTCTCAGGCCCTGATGAGGACGTGAACTCGAAGATAAAGGAGGGACACCGAGCATTTGTTAGTGGGGAGTACTGGGGAGAGGCAGGACCAAGGCAGGGAAATGAGATGGGAAAATAGTGCAAGATCCAGGTGAGAAGTGACAAGTGTATGAGCCAAGGCAATTCATTCATTCATCTACCCCATAAATACTTACTGATCATCTACTGAGTACAGCTGGATGCGCAAGGCACCTGAGATAAAGGAGAAAACAAAACAGGTAAAAATTCCTGTCTTCACAGAACTTACATCTACTCTAGGCACAAGGGGTAAGCAGTGGATGAACAAGGGTAGTCCTCAGATTTCTGGTTTTACCTGGTGAATGGTAGGATCCTTCTCTGACACAGATATTGCAGGAGGCAGAACAGGGCTGGAAAGAAAAATGATGCATTGAGCTCTATTGTTTTGACAAAGATCTGGGGTGTTTGGGGAACACTCAAGTGGAGTCATACAGCAAGCTGTGGGCCTCGGATAACTGGAGATCAAGAGTTAACTCTGGAAGGGACGCATAGACTTGGGTGCCATGGCACATATCAATAGTATTAAATTCCTGGGAATGAATGATATAAGCCTGGGAAGATTTGTGGAAGCCAGTTTCACAACTCAAAGGGCTGCAGGGCTGCAGGGTGAGTGACATATATGTGTGAACTGGCCAGAAGTAGGTGACGATGTCTAAGTGATTTGGGAGCCAGAAGATCAGAAGATGGAAGGAACTATCCCGGTGTCATTGCATGGACTAATGCCACCTACTTCGTAGGACATCTGCTTTTGACTGTTATGATGGAGTGAAACACAAACCTTGGTTATGTTTAAGCCATGTTTGGTTCCATGTGTTCCTACAGCCTAAACTTATCAACAAACACAGTTCTAAACCAAATGAATCTTGACTGTGAGCTCTATAACGGCAGGGGCCACGGCTGCCTGGTTCACTAACACATCCTCACCCCAGGCCCAACGCGACACATAGAGGAAGGTGTTTTATTTGGTATTTGTTAGGTGCCAGGCATTTTTAGATACTGTACATTATTTTATTTCATTTAATAGAATGAAAGTTCTTTCACTACAGGCCTTTTATATATTGCCTGTTATTTCATTTCATGTAACAGCAACTTTAGAAGGAAGTTCCTATTCTTATCTCATTTTCCAGATAAGAAAATTGAGGCTTAGAAAACTCATAGTCAATGTGATATTATGATGTACGTTTAGTGATAGGGATTCATTCTGAAAAATGCAATATTTATGATTTATTATTGTGCAAACATTGTACAGTTTACTTACACAAAAGTAGATGGTGTAGCTTACTGCACACAAAGCCTACCTTTCTCTCTCTCTTTTTATATATATAGGGTAACCTACAGGCATCATGGACAAAACAGTAAGTACAAAATGTGTGACACTGTTACCAACATACCGTTTTATAGCAAACCTGTTTTTTGATTGGTAGAAGTTCACTCTAAAGTAATAAGAAAGTGGAATTGTGAATACAAAAGCATAAACACAAACCATACTTGTTTGTTATCATTAGCAATTATTGTGCAGTGTACATAACTGTACATGATACACAGTGCTGTAGGTCTGGGCAATGCACCGTGATGACACTACGACAGCTACAGCATCTCTGGGGATAGGAATTTTTCAGCTCCATTATGATCACATGGGACCACCCTCCTCTATGTGGTGTGTCGCTCAGGGAAGCGTCATGCAGCACACACATGATTGCACACATTTCCGTTTCCGTTCACGGTTCCTGACTCATAGATCCTATTGCCTTTCTAATTTCCTAAATGACTTACAGCAATATGTGTATTTGGTATGAAAACATTTGGCCCTTTGTCCTTGATTCCTGAAGCAGCTACAGAACAACTTCCGAGTGATAAAGGTGGAAGGCAGGCTTTTATTTTCTTTACAAGCTCTTTCTAACATGCCTGACCTTCTGTTAATGAGATGATTTAGGGGAAAGGCTCTAGATAAATACAGAATGCGGCTGGTTGCCAGAGGAACCGGCCACTGTGCTCAGAGGGCCGGAACGTCCAAGCCCCACTCCTCAGCTTCCTGGCAGAGGGGAGAGGCGGGATGTTAAGTTGGCCACCGATGCCAAAGGCTCCATCAAAGCTGCCTACAGAAGACAGCTTCCATAAAACCCCCAAAGGGCAGGGCTTGGCAAGCAGCAGGTAGCTGAACACGTGGAGGATGGTTTCAGGAGGGTGGTGTTGCTGGAGAAAGCATGGGAATTCTCCCCTTTCTTCTATGTTTGCCCCATGCATCTCTTTATCTGATGTTCCTTGGTAGCTTTTATAAGATCCTTTATAAGAAATTAGCAAATTGAAGCATTTCCCTAACCTTCATAAGCACTTTAACAAGCCCAATGAGACTGTAAGGGGGATGTGGAAGCCAGGATTGGTAGCTGATCAGTCAGAAGCACAGATGCACTACAGTGGAGCTTGTGACTGACAGCTGAGGAAGGGGAGCTCGGTCCCAGGACTGAACACTACACCTGTGGGATCTGATGCCGTCTCCAGGTAGATAGCGTCAGAATGAAATTGAATTAGAAGAAGCCCAGCTGGTGGCTGCTGCAGAATTGATTGCTTGGTGGGTGGGGAAACCCTACACGCACTTGGTCACTGCCGTGCTGAGTGCTGAGTGAAAGTATAAGTTGTTTTTCACAACCTCAAGCTCGTATGCAAATTCAAGCATGGTGATCCCAGGCTGTGCCCCTGAAACACTGACACCTGACGCTCATGCTAACACTTTAACTCATGTCCTTTTCCCTGCCACAGATGTCCTCAGCCTCTCCTCTTCATTTCCGGAAGCTCCATCTTCTCCAGTCTTCCCAGGACTCCTGAATCATTTTACCCTTTAACCAGCCTGGCAGAAGTTTCATCTGTATCACTCCTGGCACAGGGATTTCACACACCTGTCCTGCCCTAAAAGGAAGTTGTCACGAGGGGAGCATCTTAATTATGCATCTTAGTGTTTTGGGGAGCACAGGAAAAGTTCGAGAGCCTGTGTGTATGTGTGTGTGTGTGGGGGGGGGACTTAGGCACTGAAGACTGACACACAAACAAGTCAGAGTCAGTCCTTTTTCTTGGAAAGCTCTCACTCTCATCTGGGTAAACAGAGATTAAAAAACCCATGGCAACAATGACACCTCTGCATTAGTCGGGCAGGAGTAAAGCAAGAACCTAGTTCTTCCTGGAGGAGGAAAGAAAGGAGTGCAGTGCAGGTGGGCTTAGAGCTGAACTCCGGAAGAAAGAGTGGGCATTTTCAAAGTGTTTAAGGGGGATCCTAACTGGTAAGGAAAGCACAGGTGCGTGAAGATGCAGGAGCTGTTCCGGATTAGGGAGGTACTGATTTACTAGAATGCATGGTACCTTCCTTGACCCATTTATGTCTTGAACAACTACTGAAAAAACTTAGAGTGTATCAGGCATTGCACTAAATGCAGAGGATTCACAGGTAAACACAACAGATATGATCTCCACACTCGTGTAGCTTAAAACCCACTAGGGATGCCAACTGACTACAGAGCTCTAACAGGCATGTGTGATAGGAAAGGAGGAAGCAAAACCCAAGCATAGGAGGGAGGAGTTGGGGGCGGAGGGCTGGCTCAGATTGCAAGAGACATCTGCTGTCTGTCATACCAGGGACAGGGGACTCCTCGGTTGTCACCAAGTCCTGCTTCTCCCACCTCCTCGATCGCTCACTGTTTTGTCCAGTCCTATCACAACCCCTGTGCTCTGTGCATGCCACTACCCCTTCCTTCCTTGAATGAATGTGACAGTTCTCTATAGCAGCAGTCCGCAAGCCCAGGGCCACAGGGATAAGTCCCTGACCTATTAGGACCCGGTCTACGTAACAGGAAACACAACACTGAAGCTTCATCTCCATGTACAGCTGTTCCCCAAGCTCTCACTGCCGCCTGAGCTCCACCTCCTGGCGGATCAGAGGAGTGAGAAGTGTCCTGTGAACTGCACGGAGAGGATCTAGGTCATGCCCTCCTCTGAATCATCCCCAGCCTCCAACCCTGCTTCGTGAAAAAACTGTCTTCCACGAAACTTGTACGTGTCGGGGGTGGCTGTTCTAAAGGGTCTCCCAATCTCACTCCCACCAATTATCCCCAGTGCAAACAGCAATCTTTTAAGGTGAAAATTTCATTGTGTCATGTCCTGTGCTGGAGAGAATTCTAACCTGATCTCCAACCCCTGGCATTACTCTGATGGCTGTGTTGCATTGCATAGAAAAAGGAATTTTGAAGAGTAGTTAAGGTGGCTAATCAGTTGACCTCAAAATGAAGTATGCAGGTGGGTTAGCCTAATGAAGCAAGCTGTTTGGCTGTTTTCCAGTACTGGGGCTTAAACTAGGGCCTTCACAGTGAGCTGTACCCCCAGCTTCTTCTAAACATTTTTTCATTTTATTTTGAGACAGGATCTCTCTAAGTTGTCCTGACTGGGCTCACACTGGCCATCTTCTGCTTCACCCTCCTAGAGGGATTACACTAGACCTGGCAAAGCAAGCTCTTAAAGGCCAAAGTGTTTTTCCAGCCAGTAGCAGAAAGTGGACATTAGAGAGACTGTATGAACTTGACCTGCCTTTGCTAATTTAAAGTGGGGAATGGCCTACAGGAAGGCCTGTAAATGGCCCTTAGAAGATGACATTCTGCTGAACAGCCACCAACAAGACAGGGACTTAAGTCCTACAATTGAAAGGAACTGGATTCTAAAACAATGTGAGTGAGTTTTAAAGTGCTTTTCCCCTATGACTCAAACCAGCCAACACCTTGCCTTTGGCTTGGGATAAACTGAGCAGAGCACCCAGCGGCCATGCCAAGCAAGACTGGTGACAAACAGAATAGTGAAATCACATATGGGTGTTGTTTCAAGCCACCACGTTTGTGATAGCTTACTAGATCTCAGTAGGAAACTAATATACCCCGAGGTTTCCCACTCTCCCATAAAACCATAGTGGATTTACCAGGTCCAGGCACGGAATCCTTGCAACAGTCCTGTTAGGCAAGTATTTTTATTACCACCATTTCATAGATGAGATAACTGAGGCTCACAGAGAGTAAACACTCTTCCTAAGGTCAGAGCTAAGTAAGCAACCTTTCTGATCCCAGCATCAGCGCTTAGTAACTTCTTGTCCTTGGGATAAATTCAAATACAGCCCATTCCTCATCTGGTTCCTGTCCAACCATCCAGCTTTTGTGAGGCACACAGCTCAGGTCAACTCACCTGCCCAAAAACTGCCTGTTCTTTGATCTCAACTTTGCACATTGGTTCCTCCCGCCATGAATGTGTCCTCCCCTCAGCTCCATCTACTCTCCCTCCGATAGGCAGCTCTTGGGGTCTGCCCAAGATGAGAGACCCATAAACAGCCTTGATCTTCCCGGTGGGGCTGGATGCCTCTGCAGTATCCTCCTGAGCTCCCCTCAAACTTCCTGTCCTTCCTTAGAAGAATTCAGAAGCCATCGCGTGAGAAATGTCTACTCATCCGTGCAGGGGAGCTTTTTGACAGGACTCCATGGTGGCTGCGGATTTGGTATGCTGTGAAACGAGGCTCTTACACACCTGGACCACATCTGGATACCAGGAAACGCCAGAAACCGTCAAGGTAATGACTTCAGTTTCCCTTTGTGGAAGTGGGACACTTGAAAGACAGCGTACCTTGGGCCTGGGCCCCAAACTCCCAGTACAATCGGGAGTTTCCCTGCCAAGAAGGGCGTGGGAAGAAGGCACGACCTGCGGAGCCACCTCTGAAGTTGCCTTCAGCCTAGACCCTTCCAAACCTATGTAAACTCACGGAGCCCGCTGCTGGTGGTTTTTTCTGCTTAAGTATGCCAATATTTCTTTCCATCACGGAAGACCGGAGGTCTTCTGCTTAGAGGCAGCGCTTACAGCTCTTAGCTCATCAGGCAACGTGAGTACAGCGTCTTGGTTAGATACCGCCGGATGCCTCAGTTTCCCCAATTGTGCAAAGTGCACTCTTCAGCCTGCGATGCCCTCAGGAGCAAGGCCAGGTCTGGAGGCTGGGGGGAAGGTGCGTCTAGTCACCTCTAGAGAAAAAGGGCGGGGCCAGCGGGCAGAGAGAGACTCAGAGTTGATACCTGCGGAGTCGCAAGCTCCAGGTCCTGCAGTGGAGACATCCCCGAGTCCCTCGGGCACCAACTCGCGGAGGAGCTGAGTTGGACCCGGGACGCCGACAACGCGAGCGAGATGCAGGCGGGGCGCGGCGAGGCTGGGAGGGGCGAGTCTCTGCGCCGCGCCTCCGGGGCTCGGGGCAGCAGCTCTGGGCGCCGAGAGCGGGAAGGGGTGGAGCGACGCGGGGAGGAGCAAAACCCGGAGGCCTCGGGCACCGTGGGCAGAGCCGAGCTGCAGGAGCCGAGCCCGGGCGGCCGCACTGCCTCTGGAGCGCCAGCCGTCCGGGCCGAGGTCAGTGCTGCACCCGCCTTCCCTACGCAGCGGGAGAGAGAGGCCAGCGCCGCCGCGGACAGGACCACGGATTCTGCAATCCCAGGGCTGCCCCAGCAGGGCCGGCTGGACCTGCGGCTGGCTGTTGGTTTGCTGATTGCACCATGGATCCTGCGGAGAAGAAGATTTCCGTGTGGATCTGTCAGGAGGAGAAGCTGGTGTCCGGCCTCTCCCGCCGCACCACTTGCTCGGACGTGGTGCGCGTGCTCTTGGAGGACGGCTGCCGGCGGCGACGGAGGCAGCGGCGGGGCCAGCGACAGGGGATGGCCGGTGACCCACCCGGCCAGGAGGAATTACCCGAACCCCTGGACGAAAACGACGAGGACGACGACGAGGCGCTGTCCCAGGGCATGCTGTGTGGGCCTCCGCAGTGCTACTGCATCGTGGAGAAGTGGCGCGGCTTTGAGCGCATCCTGCCCAACAAGACGCGCATCTTGCGCCTGTGGGCCGCCTGGGGCGACGAGCAAGAGAATGTGCGCTTCGTGCTGGTGCGCAGCGAGGCGTCGTTGCCCAACGCGGGCCCGCGCAGCGCCGAGGCGCGGGTGGTGCTCAGCCGGGAGCGGCCTTGCTTGGCCCGCGGAGCCCCGGTGCGGCCCAGCCTGGCTATGACCCAGGAGAAACAGCGGCGGGTGGTACGCAAGGCCTTCCGCAAGCTGGCCAAGCTCAATCGGCGGCGCCAGCTGCAGCCGCCGTCGCCCTGTTCGTCCACGTCGTCGTCCACAGCCTCGTCCTACTCGCCACCTCCCCGCGCTCCCGAGAGTGCATCAGTGGAGCGCATGGAGACGCTGGTGCACCTGGTGCTGTCGCAGGACCACACCATCCGCCAGCAGGTGCAGCGGCTCCGGGAGCTCGACCGCGAGATCGACCGCTACGAAGCCAAGGTGCACTTGGACCGCATGCGGAGGCACGGGGTCAACTACGTGCAGGATACTTACTTGATGGGCATGGGTGTCGAGCTGGACGGGCCCAGTTCTGGAGAGGAGCCAGAGAAGGAGCCGGCGGCGGCGGAGGCGGCTGCACCCCTGGACGGCGAGGCACAGACGACAGCGCTGGAGGAGCTGGCCCGGCGCTGCGACGACCTGCTGCAGCTGCAGGAACAGAGGGCCCAGCAGGAGGAGTTGCTGGAGCGCCTCTCCACCGAGATCCAGGAGGAGCTGAACCAGAGGTGGATGGAACGGCGCAAGGAGGAGCTGTCGGCGCGCGAGGAGCCCCCGGAGCCCGACGGCGGCGGCCCGGAGGGCGAACTGCTGCTGGAGCAGGAGCGGGTCAGGACGCAGCTCAGCACCAGCCTTTACATCGGGCTGCGGCTCAACACGGACCTGGAGACCGTCAAGGCGGACTTGGATTACAGCCAACAGCAGTGGGACAGCAAGGAGCGCGAGCTGCAGGGCCTCCTCCAGACCCTGCACACTTTGGAACCGGCGGTGGGGCGGGATGGGCCTCCGGGTCCCGGCGCACCCTCGCGGGAGCCCTGGCCTGAAACCTGTACCGAGGTGTGGGTGGACCAAGCCCGCGGACTGGCCAAGAGCTGTCCTGGCAACGACGAGGACTCGGACACGGGGCTGAGCTCCATGCACAGCCAGGACTCGGACTCGGTGCCGGTGTGCGAATCCCTCGTGTAGGAGGAGCTAGGAGGGAGACGCTCGGATCTCTGTCTCGCAGCGTGCCTTGGCCGCGCGGCTCAGGGACTTGAATCCGGCTGCAGGGAGCCGGGAGCTCCTTCCAGGCCGCAGCGCTCAGCTCTGAGATCTGACCCAGACGGTCAGAGATGGCTGGGGACACTTGTCGCGCAGCGGGCAGCGGCGCCCCGCTGACTCCAGGGTGAGTGTGGGGCGAGGAAGCTGGGCTCCATTCCAAGCTCTTTTGAGGGAAAGGAGTGAGGGGGTGAGGACCCCACCCCTATTGGAAAGCAAACACCCTTGGGAAATTGACGTGGTCCAAGCCCAATTTCAAAACGGAAAACAAAAAAAAGTATTGTGGAGGTTTCACCACTCTTCGGTATGGGAAGGACTATGGCAGCTAGAACTATATTAGTTGGTGGCATAAAGTGCTCTTAAACGCCTGGATGAAAAGGAAATTCCTTGAATGTTAATTGTGACTGTAAACGTGTTAAAACTAGCCAAAGAGGACGCACTGGTGTTGGCCCCAGCCTTACTGAACATCTTTGATAAAACCGATAGGCATCAGATCCTGGCTGTTTACATTTCTGCAGATTGGGGAATTACCCATCTGCGGAATTACTTGCCGTTTATTTTCATTTAAAGGCTAAACTGTGTCGAAGTCTAACTCTGTATTTCCGCCCAGTAAACACAATGTGTGTTAAAATGGGCTGCTTTTTCCAAAATTATCTTTTATTATGACAGAAGCTAAACATAACCCGTTTGAGATCTAAAATCCTGGCAAACATTATCTCTGGTTAAAATTTAATCTGGGCCCTTTGGGTTCTGTTCTTTGAGAGGCAGGTGTGTTGTCCTTTAGTTCATACTGCTCCTTCATGGACTCAGTCGCTGTTATTTCAGAAAAAAAAAATAAAAAAGGAGCCGTAGAATTCACTTTCCATACTATATTTGCTGTTTAAACGAGCACCTTGGTTTAAACCCAAACTTGAAAGCAAAGATCTTTGCATGGTGCCCAGCTTTTAAACAGAGCCCTGTAATTAAAACTAACCATGACCTCAACACATGTTACCCAAACCCAAGTCTAACTTCAGTATCTCTGGTCAGAGGTGAATTACTTGGTCAAACTTAAATCGAAGTAGTGTAAATGTCAAGCTTTACTAAGGGGGCTAATAAGAAAAGAAAAAGGCTCATAATGCACCTTGGTGACAAGTGGATTAACCCCAGTGCTTAGCCATGGATAAAAGCATGTGAAAGTGAGCCGAGGAGGCCTTGAGCTACCCTTGTCTGGTACACACACCTGTGTCCTGCTAGGAGACAGGGAGTGAGACACCTTCTCAGGAGCTGATGATGGAACTGGTCAGCACTTAGGATAATTATCACAGTTCTTTGAATTCAAACTTATCAGTGCTAGCTGCTTGCTGGCCCTGTAGAAGGAAGCTGTTGGCAGAGCTCCCTCTGGAGCTCAGTTGTTTGAGGAATGTGGGATCTAATCTAACCTAAGGAGGTATCAACACTGGGTATGTGTGCGGTGCCAGCCGGGTGCAGGAGTTGCAGTCTCCTTAGCTGTTGGAGAGGCCACCCGCTCCTGTTTCAGGGCTCCACGTGGAGATAACTTCTGAGGCCTTGCTTTCAGGAGATGCAGATGCTCTCTTACCCTCTGTGCTGACACGGGAGCCTGTCCTGACCTCCTCTGGTCTCTGGTCACCAGCTGCACTGTCCCCTGTTGAGGAATGACCACACCTCGACTGCCACTGCCATGGAGTAACAGCACGCATGCCAGTTTTCAGGTCGTCAAGTAAAATCTGAAATAAAAAGCCCTTTTCTAACTTGATTTTTTCCAAAGACTTTACTTGGCGTAATGGTTTTTGCCTTAAAGTTACATCTGATTCAGAAACATCCGTGGATTTGGTCTTGAGCTTGGTGACAACAAGGAATAAACCCACTGTGTTCCATTGTTCAATCCCATAAACACAAAGCCAACGATAGCTTTATTCTGAGGCTAAGGTAAAATCCTAATTCATGTATGACAAATGCCACTTGTCTGAATGGCTTCTCCTGGAAATGGGCTGACCTGGTGGTTTTTAAATTATTGTGCTTTTTTTCCCCTCCAGGGTGGGAGGGGAAGTGGTTCTTGGATGTTTATTAACTCAGAAAGAAGGCAGAAGTTGGCAGAAGAGGTTGCCTGGCAGAAAGGAGCTGTTTTCCTTTTCACTGTTATTATTTTAAACTTTGATGGGCTGCTGACGTCAGCAAATATGCTGGAAGCCTGTAACGCCAACAAGCCACCTCACAGAGAGAAGGCCCTTGGGGTGTTCCGGGCTCTGCTTCTAGAACCTTTCCTGTTCTGACCACCTGAAGCTGTTTGCCTGGTCAACGTCTCAGGCAGCCCGGGGAGGCTTTATTTCTAACAAAAGGCAGCTCAGGCTGCCCATTTTTGCTTTCATCCAAATCAATTATATTCCTAAAAGGCATTCTCTGTGTGGGTAGGAGAGAGGAGGATGGGGGTGGGGAGAGGAGACAATAGTTCCTTTTAGGAAGAGCTTTGCTGGCCCAGGAAAGGTACAGTGCCAATGCGGGGACATGCTTAATAAAATGCTCCATGTGTTCCAACTTTTGTTCCCTTGTGTAGTCTTTACTCCACAAGGCCCATGTAGCACTGGGCACCCAGCTTCAGGATATGAGGACCCCTGGGAAAAGGGAATCCAGGCCCTTCCAAGGTCCCGGAGGGTGGAAAAGCAAGCTTGAGGACAAGAGGACACATAGATAGGCTCCTCACCAGCCAGCCCCATCCTGTTTTTGAAATTGAAACAACCTATTGTATTTCAAAAATCTGAATTATTGCATTCTCAGCCATCTCCCAAACCTAAGGTTCTGTATGGTATCTCTAGGTTTGTTTACTTCCTTCTATAAAATATGTTTTTATTGCTATTATTTTAACTGATTAGAAAAGTCCTTGGGATGAATCTGAAAATAATATGAATACAGAGAAAGAAAAGTCACTCTAAATCTGTTAGCACCCAAAACGTGACACTATCACAGTTTGGTATCTTTCCTTTAGCACTTGTTGAATTTTGGAGATTTCATATTTTGCTTGTCTTTCATGAAACATAGCTGCATGTCCTTACACATGCCCTGTAAACCCAACACTCTGGTAAGCTAAGCAGGAGGATTATAAATTCAAGCCCAGCCTGGGCAACTTAACAAGATCATGTCTAAAAAAAAAAGCAATTTTGATATGATTGCATAAATGCTTTAATACTTAGTGTTTGGGAGACACCTTGTAAAGAGAGCCATTCATCTGGTGAATATAGTTTATATAACTGTTCAGCTCATGTTACTGGGTTGTTTCCCATACACTTTTACTATTATAAAATAACGCTATGATAAAATCACTTGTGCATGTATTTGCTTCCCAAATGTACTTTCTCCCTCTCTACAGTAAGACAGATGTCCAGAAAAAGAATATTCCAGTCAAAGAGGACAAATAGTTAGAGGCTTAATACTTAAATGCTGTTGCTTTTTCAGAGGGTTATTCTAATTACTATCAACTATGTATGAGAATGGCTATTTGGCCATGGTTTAGTTTTCATTAGATATTATATTTTGCTTAGAGGTTATTTTATTCAAAATTAATTCATGAAAGCACAGGTGGTGGCGCATGCTGAAATCCTAGCACTTGAGGATGAGGCAGCAGGATCTGAGTTCGAACCCAGCCTGAGTTACACAGAGGAACGTTGTCTCAAAACAAACAAACATCAAATTTGTTGTGGGCTTAGGAAGCCTGGGCTGATAATTGCTATCCTAAAATAGCCTTACAACAGAAAGGGTGAGTCATCAGATCAAAATTGTTAAAGGCTCCTGAGCTTTTCTCTGATTTTCCCCTTTCTAGAGCACCTGTTTTAGTCACAATTTCATCTCTTATCAGAATTGGCCAATGGTCTAAGACTAGGAAGGGCAAAAAACTCCACACAAGCAGGGTAAAGGAAATAAGTAAGACAACTAGATTTTTTAGAAAGAGTTGTCTTTTTGCCCTTGAGTCTAATGGGAAAGGTTATTCTGAGAAGGTAATACATTAAATGTATTTGAGTGTCTTGCTTCTCCTTCCTCACCTCTATCAAAAATTAGTTTTAAATAAAATAAACACGATAAGCTCAGTTGATTAGCAGCCTTAAACAGCTGAGAGTTTTCTAGGATTTTTTTCTAGAGATGACACTGGATTTGAGACTATTCTTAAATTCTTGAAAAAGCAAGATTTGGTTACGACAGTCTGAAATATCCTGAGTGCAAGATTCGACAAAGTTGCCTTCTCTACACAGAAAGGAAGGAAGGGGACAAGGAATCTGCTTTCTAAATGCCAGGTCCTGTACTAAGTGTTCACAGGTACATTCTCTCTGCGTCCATCTCATGAGGTAGATGTTCCCCTTTTATTAGTATCTGTTTGTGATACATACTAAATATATGCATAGTGGGAAATCACTGCATGTACTTTGCATCTGGACCCTTTTTACATCCCCATTCCTTCCCTTTCCATCTCCTCCACCCCCACATCCTCTTCCCAGCAAGATGAAACTTTTTGACATTCAGTTTTTACAGACCAACAAACTAAATTCTCGAGCTGTTAAGTAGGAGATGCAGGATTCCAACCCAAGCCTGACTTCCTCACCTGTGCCCTGGGTACCACACACGGAACATAAACTCACGTGGTGTTTTGCACACCTGATAAAGAACCCTCACAGGCTCCACAGTGTTGGTATCTGAAAGGCTTAGAATGATCACTGTCTTGTCTGAGTGTCTCCACCAGGGAGGTGGAATGATTTTCCTCAAACCCCAGAGCTAGTAATTATCTACAAGGTGAGGACTTAGCAAAAAGCCTAAGAAGAGAAATTACTGTGTGAATATGAGAAGTGAGTTCTTTGCCAATGGAAAAATTTTTCTCGAAAATTTAAACCCCATTTACTAGCATGAAGGTTTTAATTGAACAACCTCTGTGCTTCAGAGCACGGGTGTACCATCAACAGCATGGAGTCCTTGTCTCCCAGGGCAGGCAGCTGTGTGCTTGTCATAGTCACATCTGGAAGGTGGTGCCTGTCTGTTCTGGAACCTTCTTTCTGGCAGGTCCCTGGGTGCAGGAGAATCAGGGAAGAGGGATTCCTTGGAGGGAGGCATTTCTGGGCCTCCTAAGGACCATGGTGCCGTGGGGTCAGCCATGCACACCTGGTTCAGTGCATCTTTGGCCATGTTATCCTCATGACAACACGGGATGCTTAGGGCCACTGTCTCAGCCTGTCCCTTATGCATACCTGAGCATATCTTCCAGACATTTCTAGAATGTTCCATGGCTTTCAGGATTCATTTCTTAGCAGGATTCCTAAAGTTATTAGTTATCTGGATCCAAGTCAACTCAGGCCCACAAACTTTTACTAAAGACTAAAGCATTGAGTTGATTCTGTTTCTTCATTCAGACCACTCTTCATTTGTGAAAGAATCCTCTTCTATCTTATTTTATTTTGCATCATGTTGAAGCAGGGAGTATATGGTGAAACAAATCATTCACCTAATGGCTTGGAGATGGAAGAGAGAAAAGAGGAAGGAACCAGAATCCCCTCCGAGGTCATGCTCCCAGTGACCTAAGAACCTCGTATGAGGCTCTGCCTCAAACAGTGTCTACCACCTCCACACTGAGAAGCAAGCCCTTAACACAGGGGAATTTGGGGGACATGCTAGATCCAAATGATAGTAAGCAGTAGTAACATCTTAAGAATGTTAAGTCTTCCGAACCACCATCAATGGTATGTTTCTCCACTTTCTGTCTTTAATTTCTTCCAGCAGTGTTTTGTAGTTTTTCCATGCCTGTTTGTTAAAGTATTTTATTATATTTCATTTCTCTTAATGCTATATCAAGTGGGGTTGTTTTCTTAATTTCTTTTTCATGTTATTCATTGTTAATGTGTAGAATTTTTGTGATTTGTGTGTGCTGATTTTGTATCCTGCAACTTTGCTGAACTTGTTGATTAGCTCTAGGAATCTCTGCAGCTATGTATATGTGTTATCTTTATCGTGTTCTACGCATAAGATCATGTCATTTGCAAACAGAGACAATGTTACATTTTCCTTTCCAATTTAGATTCCTTTTATTTCATTTTCTTGCCTGATTTCTCTGACATAGGACTTTCAATACTATGTTGAATACAAGTGCTGAAAGCAGACATTCTTGTTCTGTTCCTGAGTTTAGACAAAAAGCTTTTTATTCTTTCATCGAGATTAATGTTAGCTGTGCATGGATTTTTTTAAATACATAGCCTGGGTCATGTTGAAGAAGTTGCTTCTAAATCAAGAAAGGATGCTGAATTTTGTTGGTTGCTTCTTTTGCATCACTTGAGATGGTTATGTGTTTTTTCCTTCACTTTGGTAGTATGCTGTGTTACATTGATTGATTTTTATATGTTAGGCCACCTTTGCAATCTAGAATAAATCCTTCCTGGTCATGGGATGTAATACTGTTAATATACTGTTGAATTCAGCTTGCTAGTATTTTTTGAAGATTTTGCATCTATATCCCTAAGAGACACGGATGTGTAGTTTTCTATTCTTTTAGTGTCTTTTTCTGACTTTGGCTTAAGGGTATTGCTGAAATGGGGTAAGTTAAGAAATGTTCTTTCCTCTTCAATTTTTTTTTTTAAGTTTGAGAAGGATTGGTGTTAATCCTCTTTTATCTAAGTCATTTTCTTGCTCTCAGTGACCTGTATTTTGCTTTTTTTGGGGGGGGGGTACTGGGGATCGAACTCATGACCTCACATTTGCCAGGCAAGCACTTGTACACTGAGCTAAAACCCACCATATGATTAAGAACTGTTCTTTATTAGATTTTTAATTACTAATTCAACTTTTTTTTTACTAATTTTATAAAGCATATTCCGATTCTCTGCTTTTTTATTATACAGTTTTGTTAGATGGTATGTAGGAATTTGAATATTTTGTCTACATTGTCAATATGTTGAGATCCCCACTTTCATTCTTTATTTTAATATTTTGAGTCCTCTGTCTTATTTTCTCTTAGTCTAAGAATTTCTCTAGAGTGTTGATTTTTTAAAAAAAAAATTACTTTTAGGTTCATTTCTGTTTTTTCTATCCTCCATTTTATTTACTCATGCTCTAATCTGTATTATTTCCTTCTGCAAGCTTTGAGTTTCATTTACTCTTCTTTTTTTAGATCCTTAACTTGTAAAGTTAGGTTACTGCTTTCAGATCTTTTTCTTTTTCTTCAGCGTAGGGAATGAAACTGAGGACCTTATTCAGGATAAGCAAGTTCTCTACCACTGAGCCACATTCTCTTCCCATTTTGTTTTTCTATGTATGTGTTTACAGCTATAAAATTCCCTCCTACCTCTGCTTTTGTTACATTCCGCATGTTGTGCTTTTGTTTTGCCTCCAGACATTGTAATTTCCCTTGTATTCTTTTTTGATCCATTTGTTAGGAGTGTGGTAATTCTCACATATGAGTTTTCTAGGTGTTTTTGTTACTGGTTTTTGGTTTATTCCATTATGATTAGAAAAGATAATTTTTATCATTGTATCATTTACTCCAGTTCTTAAATTCATTACTTGTTTTGT